ACAGACAATTTATATATATATTACCAAAGAGCATAACGAAATACTCGAGGTGGTACTCAAATACTTTCGGAGATACATGCTCTCAATCCTCATCGACCATACGAAAGTCAATGTCATTGCAGGAAGGATGTCGCCGAATATAATTATGCAGAGTCATCATGACAATCACAATCTAGAACTATTTGGTGAAATGCTTTTCTTAGCATAAGTTTTTAGATTAGGTTTAAATGAGCATGCTCAAACATACCAAAACTATACATATCTCCTTTCAGCGAGCATAAAGATGATGACAAGAATGGTTTATGCCCTTTCTTACAAATTGTTTTCATTATATGCCCCAAGGGGTATCGGTACTGAAATTCAGTAGCAATGCATAATATTCTATCACATAAATTTTCTGGGGCTATCTGATGTAATGTCTCACTTCATAGAGTGTGTGTGTGAGAAAAATTCCTTTCTTTGCATGACATTTGCAATTCGGTTTGCATAAGCATGCTCGAACAGACCACAACTATACTTATCTCCTAGCATTGAGCATAAAGATGATGACAAAGATGATTTGTGTCTTTTGTTATAATATTTTTCATTGAAAGACCCAAGGGATATCAATAATGAATTTCAGTAATAAAGCATAATATTATATCAAAGAAAATTTCTAGACCTATGTGATGCAATGCCTCACTTCATAGATTTTGTGTGAGAGGAAAATAACTTTTCTTAGCATAACATTTGTAATTTGGTTTGCATGAGCATGCTCAAACATACTACAACTATACATGTCTCCTAGCAACGAGCATAAAGATGATGACAAAAATGGTTTGTGTCCTTTCTTACAATTTTATTTTCATTATATGTCCCAAGGGGTATCAGTACTGAATTTTAGTAAGAATGCGTAATATTATATCACAAAAGTTTTATGGGGCTATTTGATGCAATGGCTCACTACAGAGTATGTGTGTGTGATAAAAAAATGCTTTTCTTAGCATAATTTTTATATTAGGTTTGAATGAACATGCTCAAATATACCACAACTTTATATATCTCCTAAGAGTGAGCATAAAGATGACAAAAATGGTTTGTGTCATTTCTTACAAACTTTTTTCATCATATGCCCCAAGGGGTATCAGTAGTGAATTTCAGTAGCAATGCACGATATTCTATCGCAGAAATTTTATGGACCTATCTAATGCAATGTCTCTCTTCAGATATTGTGCGTGAGAGAGAAAAATGCTTTTATTAGCATAACACTTGAAATTGGTTTGCATGAGCATGCTCAAACAGGCCACAACTAGACATGTTTCCTAACATTGAGCATAAGGATGATGACAAAGATGATTTGTGTCTTTTCTTACAATATTTTTTTAATGATTGCCTCAAGGGGTATCAATAATGAATTTCAGTAGCAAAGCATAATACTCTATCACATAAATTTTATGGGCCTATATGATGTAATGCCTCACTTTATAGATAATGTGTGTGCGAGGAAAATAACCTTTCTTAACATAACATTTGTAATTTGGTTTGCATGAGCAAGCTCAAACATACCACAACTATACATGTCTCCTAGAAGTGAGCATAAAGATGATCTATGCCTTTTCTTACAATGTTTTTTCATTGATTGTCTCAAAAGGTATCAGTACTGAATTTCATTAGCTACGCTACGCTCACCAACAGAAGCACAAAAAAAAACACAGCCAAATTCATACAGTGCAGATCCACGAGAAACAAAAATGTCTCAAAGTGAATATAGAGAGAAGGGATAGCGGAAGAAGATGGTGTCCGGAATGACGGGTTAGGGCAGAGGAAGCAGAAGCTCCACGGGGAAGGAAAATGCAGAAGATGAACGCGGGGTCGGAACGAGGGGCAAGCGCGTAAAAGATACTAGAAGAAATGTGGACCGCAGGGTCGAACTTGCGACCCCCGTTTTACTAAACAGCGCGGCCGCCGCAATCAAAACGCCGCCCCAAACAACCGAGATTCACGGCTCCCAACCACGCTGTGCGAAAACCGCTGCCCTGCAAGAGAAAGATAGAGTCGAAGAAGAGAGAATATTTTGTTTTTCTTTTATTTATGTTCTAACCACCTACTTATATGGGTACAAAAGAAGACATAACAGTTATTATAACTGCCCAAATAACTGAATCGACAAGTTTTTGGAATAAAAATTATATTATAATACAAAGAAAATAAAATGTACATCGATCGCTGGATGTTTCGGTTTCAAACGACTTTGTCTACCGATCATGAGTTCACTTTCGCTAAGAAGTCCAGTTGACCGATAAAATTCACTCGATCAACTTCGTTGAGAGGTAATTCAATCGATAAGTAAGTTGGTTGATTCTGTTGTGTGGTCGAGCAAGCCTACCTCGCCCTTCGATGCGGGACTTTAGTAGCCTGAAACTTAACCATAGACGCTTGATCCTTTGAAATTTGTGTTGTCATTTTTGTTGTATACACCATTATTTATTTAAAGTTTAGTTCTAATAGTCTTTTATGAGAACAATTTCAATCTAAATTTCAGAAGTCTAGCATTATATCAACACCTCTATAAATTCTAAAATTAAAGCTAGTGCTGTAAGTGAGTCAAGCCGACCACAGTAAATGCCCAGTATTTATATGATGTACATGAAAATATATATTTAACTATTCAAAAATCATGTGAAATGAAACATTCAAGTGATATGAATATAAAAATAAAACCCATAACATTGACTTTTATAAATGTATTTTGTGAGACTGATGTTTCTGTTGCAATTAAAAGGTTGAATATTAAAATAATTGACAAATTTAAAAAAATAATTAAAAAAACCCATAATATGAAAGCACTGAGTAGGTGTGGCCTCCTTTATCAACCAAGAGGGAAAACTTGGGCCTCGGAATACTGCTTATTTCCCATCAAGGGAGAAACGGGTCTGGCTTCGACGCGTTCCTCCTCTCTTATTGTTTTCTCTATTTCTTCATTCTGTGCTTCGTCGTCATGTACTATGAGAACTTGTAATTGTTAATCTCATTTTTTGTGAGAATTGTTTCTATCTCTAAAGCATAAAATATAGCCACATGACTTCTCTGACAGCTCTCTTATAGGACTAGTATTGGGACTCACACATACACCGCAATGCACACAACTTACATGTTCATATTCACCCTATAATCAAAATTAAAATCAATTTTTGAAAGTTCAATTGCAAACTGAAATCCAAAGAAAACCAAATTTGATTTATTTTTTACCCGAATTTGAGACCCGTCGGCTCGTGTTGAGAGGCACGCTGTCAGGACTGCTCTGCACAACTTTGGTTGTCGCTTAGGCGAAGACCAGTCTGTATTTTACTTGTCAGACGACTCTGATTAGAGCAACGAATATCATTTGTCGTGTCACGTGTGAATCGTATCTAAATTGACTTGATAGTCAACGAACTTGTACAGACAACGCCCAATGACGAAACAAACTGTGCGAACTCGTCTGAAACTTTGATTTTACTTAATAAGACACTCATTTTGTTATGATTCCGTGCATGAGTAAATAACATGCAAATTGACTCATAAATAATAATAATAGTAATAATATCTATATAAAAACACATTCACTCCCTCCTCTTAAACGAGAAATTATTCCATACGTAGCACTTACACAGCTCTACGTGCTGACTTCTAGTAATATGCCGCTACATGGTGGTTATTGAGAGGTTAATCAAGTGAAATCACGAAGATTATTGAGAGGTTGTTGGAGTGTTATCATAAGGTCTTGATAGAGTTATGAGGGGCATAATTTATTTGGGGGTTATTATTGCGTTATTACGACGTTATTAGAGAGTGTAACTGTTGAGCTGAGTTATTAGAATTAAACCAACATATCGACACTCCCCGAAAAAACCCTAGCCGCTGCCCTCTTCGGCCGGAAGCCTTAGCTCGCGTGCTCATCAAGCTCCGACGTTTTCGCGAACTTGCCAGCCTCTTCGGCGAATGCTCTCCCGGTCCTCTCTCCACCAGCCGACCGAGAACCTCCCTCTCCCTCTATCCGTGATCACCTTCCCCTCTAAAACGCAAACTGTGCGCAACCTGCCCTCCGAAGCCGCGGACCACTTTCCTGCTCTGTCGATCGCCTCCGGATCTGTCGATTTCCGCCCAGATCTGCCAATCGTCGGCTAGATTTGCCTATCTCCACCTAAATCCGGCAGGTATCCTTCGATCTTTGTCAGACCGATCCCTCTTCTAGTCAAATGCAATGGAGTACATGGTTGAGGTTTACTGCTGATAAGTTTTAAAAAAAAGTGTAGTGATAGAGATCTATTCGCTGTTAGCTTATAGCTGAATTCCTTTAGGAATAAACTAGGATGAGTCCATAGATTCCATTTGATTGTGGGACATCGTCACCTTTCTGGTAACAATTAGAGCCTGTAGAACTTAAATCATTGCAAAGTCTCTCATCTTCTTTGCCCTTTTCTTCGATCAAGCATCTTAAATAGTTTTCTGATTAAACCTTATAGAGCTGTTTAAAGCTCATGGATCAACTTTCTTTGTCAAAATCAGGTTTTCTATTTTACTTGTGATGAAACAAAAAAAAATTACGAGTTTTTCCTATGTGCACCGTTTCCTATCTCAAATCCTTTTAGGATTATGTATTGGGAAAATTTAGCTGTATGCCAATGATGGTTATAAATTTCCATATATGACATTTGCCTTCTTTTAAGCTTACTAACATTTGCAACTTCTGAAACTTTATTGCAATTACATGTGCTTGAAGCTTTATTGCTTATTTTCATGATCTCAACCTTTGTCTTTTAAGTATTTCTTGCTTGAAATGAATGTGATTTACAGCCATATGCAACCAGTCTTGTAATTGCAGCATGCACACATTTGTTGCCTTAAATTGCTAACTAATCTTTTCTGTAAAACTATGCCTGCTGCAATTTACTGTAAAGAGACATCACGCTGTCTATTATTTTTAGTACTTTTTATTATTTGAAAATGTTACTAATTTCTTTGACTAACTTCTTATTATTATTGCAGCTTTGTTTTAAAAGGTGAGATGTCATCACCAATGCAATCATCATATCTTCCAGCCAACAGTGATTCTTTGGCACAGGCCTTGGAGGCTGTAAACCCCAATGAATCCATTTCTCTTCTATACCAAATTCTGGAGGACCCTTCATCTTCCTCAGAAGCACTGCGCATCAAAGAACAGACAATTTCAAAACTTTCAGACCTACTCACACAGGAAAAGAAAGCAGAGGAGCTTAGAAGCCTCCTTACTCAACTAAGACCCTTTTTCTCTCTGATTCCCAAGGCGAAAACTGCAAAGATTGTGAGGGGGATCATTGATGCGGTCGCCAAAATACCTGGGACTCGTGATTTGCAGATCTCTCTCTGCAAGGAAATGGTGGAATGGACGCGTTCCGAGAAGCGAACTTTCCTCCGGCAACGCGTGGAAGCCCGGCTCGCCGCTCTCCTGATGGAAAATAAGGAGTATTCCGAGGCCCCAAGTCTTCTCTCTGGGTTGATAAAGGAGGTCAGAAGATTGGATGACAAACTTTTACTTGTGGACATTGATCTTCTGGAAAGCAAGCTTCATTTCACTCTGAAAAATCTTCCAAAGGCAAAAGCCTCGTTAACTGCAGCAAGAACCGCCGCGAATGCCATTTATGTTCCTTTGGCGCAGCAGGGCACTATCGATTTGCAGAGCGGAATCCTTCATGCGGAGGAGAAAGACTACAAGACTGCCTACAGCTATTTCTTCGAGGCCTTCGAAGCCTTCAATGCGCTCGAGGATCCTAGAGCTATGTTCAGCCTGAAGTACATGCTTCTTTGCAAGATCATGGTCAACCAAGCCGATGATGTTGCCGGTATAATTTCTTCGAAGGCTGGTCTTAACTATCTCGGTCCGGATCTGGATGCCATGAAAGCTGTTGCAGATGCTCACTCGAAGCGTTCTCTAAAGTTCTTCGAAACGGCTCTCAGAGACTACAAGTTGCAGTTGGAAGAAGACCCAATTGTTCACAGGCACCTTTCGTCTCTCTACGATACTCTAATGGAGCAGAATCTGTGCAGGCTGATTGAGCCTTATTCGAGGGTGGAGATTGCTCACATTGCAGAGTTGATCGAGCTTCCCATTGATCATGTGGAGAAGAAGCTCTCCCAGATGATTCTTGACAAGAAGTTCGCCGGAACCCTGGATCAGGGTGCTGGCTGCCTCATCATATTTGATGATCCTAAGACTGATGCAATCTATCCTGCGACGCTTGAGACCATTAGTAATATCGGCAAGGTTGTGGATAGCCTTTATGCCAGGTCTGCACGTATAATGTCCTGAAGAGAATCAAAATGCCGAGACAGACTGATAATGGTTATTTCATTTTGCTCTCTTATGTTTATGAGTTATTTCTGGCCAAATCTGGCACTTTTAACTCCTGTTTATCTTCTCAGTTTAGTTTGAGAAGAAAAAGTGTTTGCTTGAAGTTATATTGGGAACTTTGTTTGAGTAATTGGAAATGATGCTTAAAAATGCTTTCTTTTTAGTATAGTTGCATGCTATGATTAAAGAGACTATGAGTTGAGGTTTGGTTGTGAATTTTGAGATTGTGGTGGGTGATGAATGAAGATAGTAGTGTTAGTTTGATTAAAATGTTTGTGGCAAGCTGAATTGTTTTATTACTCAACATTTTAATTGCAATAGAAAAATTAGAGTGACAAAAACATTTATATTAGTCATTGAGTTGCACTTAAATGCATAAATCTTAAAAGTTTTTGGGTTTTATTGTGAGGTATTAGTTTGGCTCGTTAGTTTAGAAAAAGACTATTTATTTATAGGCAATGGCGTACAATTGCATACTTGCCCTTTGTTGTTTAGGGGCATTACAACATGTTTTATGCATAAAAAATAAATGAGTCTATGCCTCGGCTATCCTATTACTCAACCAACAACTAATATGTATACATTCATATCATTTAAATTTTTAATTTCACATAAAAATATCATTATTGTTTATTTTTAGAGATTAAATGTGCATTTTCATACATAAATTTATAACACTAAAGTCGTTGGAGGAACTAAAATTAGAGGACCCAAATAAACAAGTAATTAAATTTAATCAAAGTTAAAATTTTACTTCATCTAAAATAAATAAGTTAAAAAAGAAATCTAAAAATAACTTATCAACTAAAAAAATACTCATTTTAATCTTGATATAATGATCACTCATTTAAAATGTTCCCGCACTTTCATTGCATCAAAATTATAAGCCACTTTGTAACATTTAAATAAATATGTTAATATATAAAAAGAAATTATATATTTAAATTTATGAGATAATTAAAATATTTTTAATAAATTATTTTAAGTAATGATAAAATGTTTATCAAATGAAAAAAAAAATGAGAATTTATGTTTAGAAGGTGTGCAACTTTATAGTATACTATATCATATATAATACAAAGTTTATGAATATTTAGTTCCACCATTGATCAAAGTGTTAGATATATAAATACATAAAAATTGTGTGGTAAAAACTTAAATTTTTCTATATTTTTCATATAAACAATTAGACTGAAAATGCTAAATTTTTATGCCATTAGATATTGAACAGTGAACAATTTTATTTTATTAGTACTATCATGAACATGAAGAAAAACATAGGCCCCTCCATTTTTATATGTAACAAACACGTAGATATAATATATACATATAAGGTCATCAAAAAAGTTTGTTGTTCGTGAACAGCTAATATTTGGTTCATTTTATAGTTGGTGTTCAAACTTTTCTTTAAGATTTTAAACTTAGATTATAAATGAGCCAAACACGAACAACCATTTGACAGATCTTGTTTGGCTTGTATCAGCTCTGCTGGACACTCGTACACCATGCTGCCATGCAGTCGTCGGTAGTTGGCCTGCATTCAGAGAACTGATCAACACATGAATAGATTGATTGGATAGTTCAAAAAATAAATTGAATAAATCAATGTTTCAGGTGGTATGTAGGCATCAAGTCACCCAAAATTTGTTATTTACAAATCTAACATTTTCTTTCGTCTATTTTTCAAATTCTCACTCAAATATCAATATTCATGGTGAAACCCCCACTCCCATGTTTCATTTTCATCAAATTCTCTATCATTTGATCGTGGCACGCATAAATATATCAGTTTGATAATTTAAAACAAAAACAAAATCACATGTATACTTGATTTGTAAAAATCAATGTTTCAGGTGCAACAAACCGCCACAAACTTGATATTTACAAATCAACAACTCTCTTTCATTCATTTTTCAAAATCTCGTTCAAATGTCAATATTCACGGTAAAATCCCAACCCATATTTTTCATTTTTATCAAATTCTCAATAGTTTGATTATGACATATCTAAATACTTCGATTCCATATTTCAAAAAAAAAAAAAACTCATTGGTGGTTAATTTGTAAGCTTACTATTTTTTATCAATTTTTCAAATCCTCACTCAAATATCAAAATAGAAGAGAGAGAGAGAGAGAGAGAGAGAGAGAGAGAGAGAGAGAGAGAGAGAGAGAAATAAAAGGATAACCGCATTGTGCCCCCTAAATCGGTGCTCTACTGCTCTCTACCCTAGGGGCTTTGTAGGTATTATAAGTAAATAATGCTTGTTAAAAGAATAGTAACACTGTAAAGTACATTAAAGCGCAGTAAAAATAAAGTAAACGTGCATACCTATGATTTCTGTCGCTGCTGCAAAAAGGGTTAATATTACATGTAAAGCAAGCCAGTATTATAAAGAATTAATAAGCAAGAAGATCATGAACACGCATGTAAATAAAAGCTCAAGTAACACATATATGAAAGATCAGAGCGGATCATAAGAATTTAGGTTCGAGGTGGACTCAGAATCAAGACCTGAAGGGGCCAAACAAAAGAGTCGGCATCATGTATGTGAGATTCAACATAGGGTAAAAGGCTACAACCCAACAAACACAGAAGGGTAACTCTTGGCCCGGTCGATGTGACCCACTCTTAAACTTCAAAAGAGTTTTATTTTATCACACATTCAATTAGCTTGTTTTAACACATAGAAGGGTTTTGATTGATCATATACTTAAGTTTTTCTTTTTATTCAACAAGCAAAATGTAAGTATTGTTATATTTTATATCATATATTTCATACATCAGGCGATTCATGAGCCAGTTACATTGTTGCGCTAGAACTATCAATAGTCTAAGTGAACAAGAGGTAACTCTTTACCAAATATTGTAGAGTAGTGATGTCAATCCTTAACCTTCGGATCAGGATATGCAATACTCCTCACATACCTAGTTATCTTTTTCATCCCCGCCCTTAAACTCAAACCATCAAACTTATAGAACTACTTGATAATCCATATATCACTACACTATACACAACTGTATTTGAATATAAGCACATAAACTAATCCATCAAACAAGAAAAAAAAAAGAAAAGAAAGGAAACATAACCCCAAAGATGTTCAAGTATTTTCCAAAATTAGCAAAGTATAGGGCCAAAACAACAACAAAAATTCATCCCAAAATAGTGTTTAAACCTTCTCCAAACATCAGAAAACCCAACCCAAAATAGCATGTAAGGCCTCCATAATCGATAGCAAATCAACCCCAAAAAATAACATGTAAAGCCACTAAAACAACTAGTAAATCAGCCCTAAAAGCATGTATGTTAGGCCTAAAATTCGCATTATTAGCATTTAAAATAGCATATACATCAAGCCCATAATCGATATTTCAAGTATTTAAAGCAACACATGTATTGAGTGCAAACATCAACATTTTAAGTATTCAAAATAGCATTCATGTTGAGCATTTTAATCGCTTAAAATAGCACGGAAGTTCTTCCCAAAATTGTGGGATCATAAGGTTTAAAACAACATTTTAAGCACTCAAAAGCATATGAAATCCTCCCAAAAAGCAGTGGGTTTGCAATGATCCAAGCAATATTTTGTTATTCCAAAATATTGAATGTACTAGCTCAAAAATAGTATTTTATTATCAGAAAACAACACATGTTTCAAACCCAAAAATCAGCATCAAAACCCTTCAAAACTATGTTTTATCATCCGCCAAAATAGTGAGTTTGCAAAGCTCAAAACAACATTTTAATCTTTTTAAGCCAGGGAACTTACAACCAACAAGCTCACCACTTTCAGCCTTCCAAACAATATTTTTATCATTCCCAAAATGATGAGTTCATAAATTTTAAAAGTGCATCTCATTTTTTTCAAAACAGTAAGCAAATCAGCCCAAAATAATAGGAACATGATGCAGAAAACAATACTTATCAAGCCCAATGAGTTTGAAGTCTTCTCCAAGGAAATAACACATAATAAGGCTCAAAAAGCATTTAAACTCTCTAAAAAAAACACAAGTTGAGGCTTAAGAGATGCATTTTAAAATCTCTCCAAATTAACAAACATTCAGCTCAAAAGATGTATTTAAAACTACTCCAAAATAGTAAATGTATCAAGTCCAAATCAGCAAGTTTATAAGGCTTAAAAGTTGCATTTTGGTCTTTTCAAATCAACAAATAAATCATCTTGTTACTGCTAGAAAAATTGTTCATATAGAAGGTAATGCCAAAAAAAACTTCAGATTTTCTTAGGGATCAAAACATCAGCATTTTGGTCTTTTCAAATCAACAAATAAATCATCTTGTTACTGCTAGAAAAATTGTTCATATAGAAGGTAATGCCAAAAAAAACTTCAGATTTTCTTAGGGATCAAAACATCAACACTTTCAGGTTTCTTTGTAAAAAAAGCTAGAGATCACTACTAAGTCTAATGGTGCAGTTAAGGAATAATGCTAGCCAAAAAAAGAACCATTAAGAAGAGGAGAGCTTAAGTTCTTACATCCTTAGTAAGCAAGAAACCGAGCACAAGAACCTCTAATCCAAAAGCTTTAAACTAGTGAAAAATCCAACAAAACCTCCTGACGGAACCAAACTTTCAACAAACTGAAACCTTCCCCAAAAGAGCATAGTTATGGTTATAGAGGAGGAGGGGAAGCCATAGAAGAGTAGATAGTGGTTCATGGGATAAAAGCACAAAGGAGAGGTATTTTAACCAGACACAGGCTTCAAAATCAAGAAGCCTGAGGAGCCGAAGGCATCGAAAAGTAGATGACTCTATCAAACTAATGCTTCGGGGAGAGTCCGTAAGATCAACTTACCAAAGGGGGAAATGAAGGCTTACAAAGGCATGTCGTCCTGAGAGACGAAGTAAAGGCGGGCTTCAGGAAGAAAAGCCTCTGACATAAGGTGAAGGACGAGAGGTCAGTTGTACTTTAACGTGTGCCAATAAATTAAATTAAAAAAGAAATGGAATGATTTCAAGAAATCCTTTTAAGTGTTATTTGGGTTGTATTTTAGTCTTATTAGTGTGCTAGCACAGTTACGCAGAATCGATATTATTGGAGGTAGTATTGGTGTGGTATTGCGGGGTTACCGCAGTTCTGCGAAAGTTGGAATTAATCAAGGTAGTATTCAGGTTGTATTGTAGTGTTATTGTGGTTATGCGGTTGTC